AGAGGTGGAAGCGATGGTGCACACTCGTTAGCCTTCCGATGGCTTGCATTTGCTGTTCAGTTGGCTAGGTGTCAACGTTCTGTCTTTACCCAGTGATGCCACTTTTAGTTAAGACAATGACGGAACACACTGCATCTTATTAGTTCCGAGGAGGCATAAGACACTTCTGAAGGATTCAATCTCAAAGAGAAGAGACAAGTGCTTGACCAAGCTAGTTGAATTTGTAGCCAAATTATGAGCTGCCATTGTTCTTAGCCTATATCAATCAGCCTTGAAGCATCTTGATTAAAACACTGCCCATCATCTATCCTGCACTCTGCCGAATATCTCGTCGCAGCTGGCAAGACACAGCACATTCGAGAGATTCAAATCATAGAAGCACGTGCAACATTGCCCAGAATACCAAGCTTATGGCCCGCTCCTTTTCACGTGCTTGAATATTACAGCGCACTGATTGTGGCAAATGAGGCCGCTGGGCTCGTCTCACGTTGTGCAAGGCAGCGATATGATTGGTTCGGTCATCACGGAGAACATCTGTTTCTAGCGGGTAACTTTCGGTCTGAACCACTGATAGTGGTAGGTAGGATACAAGGATCTCCTGCAACAGCATTGTTTTGTCGAAACAAAATGCTTGCCTTGTTCACGAGTCTGCTACCTTGTGCATATCAACGGGCTATGCCGTATTCGCTCCGCGGGACCGTGCAGCATGAGCAACTTCGTGAAGGCAAAGAAGTAGCGCCTATATTAATTTCCAGCTGCTGTTATCCACTCCTAAAACATCCAGCATTCAACTAGAATGAAGGCTTTCGCGACGAGTCTCACATGGGCAACAGCCTTTTGGCCGATTGCGATCGCTCAGAATGCCACTATTCTACTCACGCCGGCAGCTACTGGCTTCGATTCTGACAACGCTGCATTCATATATGGGAGCGCGCCGATCCTTCTAGCAAACGATGGAAGTGCAGCAGACGGTGGTTTTCGTACTTTCGCTTCCTCAAATTCCACAAACACAACCTTGTTCGCTGAGCGCTCGCACGAAAGGTCCGGGCGCACCAAAATTGCCATCCCAGTCTACGATGTTGGTGGTCAAGATGTCATCTTCAACATCCCTTCGCCGAACTCAATTATAAGACTGTACGATGTTTCAAGCGGAAGCGAGGTCCCTGGATCGCGAAAGTACCACCTTGGCGATTGGAGCGTAGCACGCAACTGGCGCAGCCAGACAAGCGGAGAGAATTATGTGTTCCTGTTTGGAAAGAAGAAGGTTGTTCAATTCCTCATCAGGGGCGATGCTAGTGATGCGCAGGTTTTAGAAGTATGTCCTTTTTAATAACCGACAAGCACGTGCTAATACTATGCAGGTTCAGACTTTCTCCATCCCGATCGAAGGTGAGACAGCAACTGTTCTTCCCAATGGGCAATTTTACTTTTCTGGTGGCAAAGGCAAGGTTCTGTACGCATTCCAAGCCACGGAGAGCACTACAGCTCCCACCATTCGCACCGTGAAGAAAGATGTGAAGATCGAAGGCCTCGGCACGTATCACGCCAATTCGACCGATTATCTACTGGTTGCGCATGATGAAACTATCGACTTCTACAGTGCGGACTTCAACCTCCAAGGTTCCGTTACTCTGAAGGGCGTTGAAGACCTATCAATTGGTGGAGACGTGGCGACCTTGCAGTCTGCTTCTGCCAAATATCCATCTGGGGCCCTAGCATTTGCCTTTGAGGCAGGAGATGAGTCCGGTGTTGCGATCGGTCCTCTGGATGATGTTCTACATGCTCTAGGTATCCAGATCAGCACCTCTTACAACCCACACAGCAAGCCTTGCGGTTATTGCACAAGTCCCATCTCCAAAAGTTGTTCAAATAATGGCTTCTTGGGGACAGACAACAATTGCAGCTGCTTTGTTGGCTATGCTGGCCTCGACTGCTCCTCAATCACATGCCTGAACGACTGCTCCGGTCATGGTAGCTGCAGTGGGCCGAATACTTGCAAATGTGAGGCCGATTGGGCAGGTCCCGATTGCTCCTTTGTGGCAGTCAAGGCAAAGTACGAGACTGAGGCAAACGGCGGTGATGGCGACGACCCGGCTATCTGGATTCATCCAAACCAGTCAGATCAAAGCAGAATCATCACGACGACTAAGTCGCAGGGTGGTGAGGGGTTTGGAGTTTTTGACCTTCAGGGAAAGCTGTTGCAACACTCAACCGCTTCCGAACCCAATAATGTCGACATCATCTATGGTCTACCCGTTGGGAACCGTAGTGTGGACCTTGCATATGCTGCGTGCCGAGGTGATAATACTCTCTGGTAAGCTCTTGAATGTGACAATGAACTTAGACGTTGCTGATCCGCTACAGCTTGGTCGAGATCACCAGCGATGGTTCTCTCAAGAACATCACTGGAGGCACACAGCTTCTACCCAAGGACTATGAGCCGTATGGGTCTTGCACGTACCTTTCCCCTAAGACCAAGAAACAGTATCTGTTTGTGAACGACAAGAGGGCTGAGTACCTTCAATACGAGCTATCTGCTTCTCAAAACGGCACACTACAGACTTCACTGGTTCGCAGATTCACTGGAGGGTCAGGTGGCCAGGTTGAAGGCTGTGTCACTGACGAAGCCGCTGGAAATCTATTCCTTGGCGAAGAGCCGTCGGGCATTTGGCGGTACGACGCAGAGCCTGATGGCTCGAACGAAGGATTTCAGTTCGCGAAGGTCGGAGAAGACGGACTGCAAGCCGATGTCGAGGGGTTGACGATTGTGACTGCAAAGAATGGCACTGAAGGGTACGTCATGGTGAGCAGTCAAGGCATCAGCGCGTACCTTGTGTATGAGCGGGCACCGCCTCATAAGTATGTTACCACCTTCTCAATCGTGGACAACGAGGCAAAGGGGATTGATCATGTCACCAACACGGATGGACTCGCCGCGGTTCCTAACCGGCTTAACGCTGATTTTCCTCTCGGCCTGATCGTCACGCATGATGATGCAAATGAGCTCGCCGAGGGTGGTACAAGTGCTGAGGCAAGCTTCAAGTTGATCAGCCTTGTTGATGTACTTGGTGAGGAGATGACAAAAGCGCTCGGTTACTAGAGCCCTAGTGTTAATGAAACGGATGATCAAAAGCACGACGGCTCAATCTATGCATGGCTTTCGTAGAACTTGTGCATCATGTGACCTACAGCATGTATCAGATGCAGACCATCATCAGAGTTTCGAATCATAGGGAGCAATAGGTCATTCAACGATATTCACGATGCACAGAAACTGCACTTATAGGTCAATTTCAATAGTATTCTTGCTGTAATATCCCGCTCTCTATCAATCTTCTAACAAATGGAGCGCATCGAGCAGGTCCTTTCGGTTACTCTCGACATCATCGAAGAGCTCCCTTATCGACTCTTTGGTCCAATACGATGGCCAATCAGGCTCTTTCATCGCTTCAGACACGAGATCGTCATCCGACGCCAGATCCCAACAATGATGTTCCTTTAATACGCGAAGCTCTCGAAGCAAGCTCTTGACAACTTTCAGATGTTCTTCTCTGACTTGTCTATCCGTCGTTCCAGAAGATCGTTCGAAGGATAGGGTCGAATCTATTTGGTCCAAAATCTGAATTGCTCTTTCATTGAAGTCGATGAGGACACACACGAATGCGCCATACTGTGGAGGTGGGACGCCATTAGCGGCTGGAGCCGCAGAAGAGGTCATTGAATGAAACCTGTTAGTTTTTGTGTATAAAGTGCAATACCATGGAAGTTTGCCTTGAAAACTACCACTAGCAGAAGGGGTATGATCTGCTTGGCCTGATGTAACTCCCAGCGGCTTCTATGGAGTTCGATAAATTGATTAAATTAGTGATTTTGACAACAAAGCAAGGATAATATGGAAGAATCATCGAAAGCGCCAAAGGGAAGTTACCTTGAAGAAGATAGTTGGTTTGCTACTAACGCAATTCTGGTAAAAGGAATAACATATCAAGTGCACTAAATCATGGTTCGACATCAGACAAACATGAGCCCCTGCACGTAAGCGCTTGAGACCCTTGAAGATGAATTTCACCAATTGTGGTCCGTAGATTGACTGGAACACAATTGCAATGAGACGGCCTGCTCACTCGGCTGCATGTATCGTTTGCCGAGACAGACATGTAACAATGCTTGCTAGCAAACCGTGAGATAATCACGCAGGTATCCCAGTCCCATGAAAGCAAAAGCTTAGCGAACTGACCATTAATTTGGCTTTCTAGCCAGCTAGACAATTAAACGCTTGCGTTCACGGCCTCTGATTCGGGAAGTGAGCTTGAATCTGCCCATCACTGTCTATTTCTCGTTGGAATTTGGCCGGAACACCGTTTCCAGGGATCTTAAAGGCAGTCACTGTTGTGATAAGGTAGTTTAGAGCGGCTGTTTTGCATGATTAGCTAAGTGTTGAGGCCATTCGCGCTCTACGTACAATTAGAATACAGGAAATGCAGTGTAGATATTACAATGTGTCAGTATTCAATTCAGTAAAAGCCTCGCGGTGCTAGACAGCCTTGGAACGATGTCTTAAATATAGGGCGCATGAAGATTTCATATAACAATGTTCGCTTTGTTGCCTTGACCTTGGTGGTACAGCTGCTGCGGCTGAGGCTGAACACCAGTTCAGTGTGGACGTAAGCATGGCGAATTCGACCAACAGGGCCGTTTGCTGCGTGCGGAAGCAGCCTGAGAATAAGGGTGTCGAAGTCATGATTTTTGATTCGCCAATGAAGATACTAAGGCTCTATGGGTTTTTGATTGGACACCGACAGCATGAAGTTCGGTCAGCAAGGTGCGTGAACTCCGAGTCTCGGCGAGACCAAATTTCTACGCATTCGGCCGCAACGAATCTGAGCCTTGAACGAATGGAGATCTCATGTCCTGACAAGCAGACAGAAGAGCAAGAAGCAGTAATTGTCAGAATAGATAGTCAAGTAACCTACTGCCTGCCATCAAAGCAGCAGCAACAAGCCCGGCTGGCACAATCGGTAGCGCGTGAGACTCTTAATCTCAAGGTTGTGGGTTCGGTTAGTACTCCCGAAGGACCTCGGATCGAAACCGCCGACTAACAAATTCGCAGAGCCCCACGTCGGGCTTCATCAGCACCAACGAATTCTTTTTTGCTGCCCGCGCAGTACTTAGCTAATCAACTTGACGACATCCTCAGCATCACGATCCCAAACGGGGCCTGGTACACGAAGGAGTTCAAGGACATCTGCATCTGTGTGTACACGAACGGGTATGTGCGCGAGACCCGTGGGAGAAGGGGAGGAAGCCCATGATCGTGAAGGTGAAGTCGGGCGGGCACGCGGTCGAGATGGTGTACAAGGTCTTGAAGTCATTTAACACGGACTTCGCGACCATCCAAAACGGCTTCAACTACGACCTGAGGTACATGGCAGCCTCGTGCGCGAACATCGAGGTGATCACGGACACGTTCGACGAGAGGCGCTTGGGCAACGTTAGGATCGGGATCTTCTGGGGGCTCCCGTACTGCATAATGTGCGTAGACACAACGCAGTACGCCTACAAGATAGAGAACAAGGTCTGGAATTTGGTCTTGTTGGCGCACATGTCCAACTGCTACAACTTGCCTGCAAAGTTGGACACGGACACAATGCAGCTTAACTCCTTAAAGGAGAACAACATAACAAAAATGATCACCAAAGCTGTGTAAGCGCGTGTGTGTGTGCGTGTGCGTGTTAGCGGGTCTGTCTAGGAGTCCAATCTGGGACTGAATTGCGAACAATGCTGGCAGGATAGTTTACTACTTGGAGCAGTACGAGGCTATGAGCATGGAAAAGTGGGTGGACCTAAGCGCGAAGTCGGAGTCGGATGCGGACTACTTTGAGGGCGGCTGTGTGCCAGAGCGACGTCCCGGCTGCTACAAGGGCGTTATCGTGATCAACAGCAACTCCCTGTACGGCTCAATTATGGTAGAGATGGGCATCTTTGTGAACAGGTGCATTCCCGCGGCCACGCTTAAGGAGTTGTTGCAGAAAGCGAACGTGGACATGCCCACGGGGATAAGCGAGCCCGAGGTCAAGGACTCGATCGAGCTGCCGGAGTTGGTCGTGATGAGGGGCAAGACCAAGTACCTGGGGCTGATGTCGGGTGGCCCAGGTTGCTGAGCGGGATCTTACAGGCACTCATCTCCATGATGAAGCAGTACCGGAGGGACGGGAACGAGGTCACGGCCGGATGCTGCAAGGTAATCACGACCAACGTGTTCAGCGTGTTCTGAAGCAAGCACGGGGACATCTCCTCGAAGCGTGCGCGGAGATCATCACGTTCGCGGCCAGGTTCTACCTCAGGATGATGATCTCTGTCGCGCGCAGCTGCGGGTTCAACGTCATCTGAGGGGACACGGGCTCGATCTTCGTCGAGGTCAAGGGTGAGGACGAGGACACGTGAATGCAGGGAGGCGAGATCGTAAAGGAGAAGATCGTTGAGGGGACTGTGTTCGAGAACGTGGGTGCGGACATCAAGGGGAACTACATGTCGATCGTGATCACTAGCAAGAAGAAGTACGAGGCCGTGATGTGGTCCGGGAAGGTGGAGACGAAGGGGTTGGCGCCCGTGAAGAAGGACACGCTTCCGATCGTGAAGTACGTCATGTCTAGGAGCTTGTCCGTCTTCAACAGCCCCCTCACGAAGGAGGAGATGAACGAGGAGCTGGTCGATCTCTTGTCCAGCGTTTTGGGCTTGATCAAGGACGGGAAGCTGTCCGCGAAGTCGCAGCTGATCAAGAAGAAGATCACCGGCCAGCCCCACTACGTCTACATCGACACGAACGGGAACGAGCAGGCGGTTTTAGTCGACATCGGGGTTAAGGTCATCAACGTGAGCAAGAATTGGGTCGTGGGCAGGATCAAGATGGCGACCAACCGCGTGCTGATATGCCTGGACATGAACACGTTCGAGGAGCTGAGGTTCGCCCACCAGACGAGGATGAACATGTCCAAGAGGAGGATCATGACCTAGATCTCGCCGCTTCCGCGTTCATGCGCGTGTCCGTGGTCTTGCTCTCCCTCACCTTCACCATCAAGAGCAGGTCCTTAAGCATGCGCTTGTCGCTGGACGAGTGCAGGTCCAAAACCAACTCCTTGCCCGTCATCAGGCTCTCGTACATGTCCTTGCTCGAGTTCGCGTCCTTGTGTCTCCTCGAATGCTTGTACTTGTGCCTTGACGTCTCCTTGCTCGAGCGCACGCTCAGGGCGTCGGGGATCATCTGCTCCACGTTCGAGATGTCGCCCACGTACGAGGAGTCGTCGGTGAACGATTCGATGCGCTTGGGCTTGCTCATGTCCATATCTCCGTTCATGACCATGCTCATGCCCGACTAGATGGCCAAGTCCGTGTTCGAGCACAGGTCGGTGTCGATGACCTTACACTTATGGCAGAACGTGTGGTGCTCCGTGTATCCGCCCTCGTGCAACCGCGCGTGGACGGGCATGTCGGTGTCCAAGCCCACGTATCCATGCACCGTCTCGTAGCCGCACCCGCAGCAGAGCCAGCCCATATCCGCGGCCATGCACTGAAAGAAGCACTTCTTCGAGCCCCTGCGCATGCTCACGTACGGGTCCTTACAGCATGAACATGAAGCTACCCGTGTCCACGAGAGGGTTCCCGGAGGAGGTCAAGTTCTTATAGCGGCTCAAGCAGTCGTTCAGGGACTACAAGTCGAGCGGCGGCAGGATCCTGGTCAACGACGAGTCCTCGGAGACGAGCATGGATGACAACGGCGGCGTGAACATGCACACGATGTCGCTCATGATCAGGTCGGTCATGTGCTACGTCAGGAGGGCGCTCTTGGCCGTGTACACGAACCAGGCGGTGCTCGAGGCCGCGAACCACTCCTCGGACAGCAACTTCTGGAGGAGTCTGTTCAAGCCCATGGAGCCGGTCGACAGGCACTACACGTTCGACGATTTGATCATGGACAATAGCGTGCTCTCGATCGGGGACATGGCCGGGGAGGACGAGAGGGCCGACGTTGAGCAGAGGAAAACGAAGGAGGAGATGGGCGGGCTCATCAACGTGTGCTACACCCCGCAGTCGAAGGCGTCCGGGCGCGTGCGCATGTTGGTAGGCAGGGTCATGATCAGGATCAAGACGTCGAAGATGTGCGAGAGGGCGTACTACTTATTGTCCACGCTCTCGTTCTTGATGGAGATAGGCTTCAGGGACTGGGTTGTAAAGTGCGGCGGGTACTGCTGGCAGATCACGCTTGAGGACGTGGAGCGGATCGTAGGCAAGTGGAAGAACATGTGCGAGCCCAACATGCTGACCTTGCACGTGTTTGAGAGCATGAATGTGCTCAACATCTCGATCGCCAGCGGGGTCCTGACCAGGCCCGTAAGGTTGAATGAGGACGAGAGCGTCTTCAAGTTCGAGGGCCCGTTCGTCGACTCGATGTCGGTCTACCACAGCGACACGCTTAGGTTCGTGAACATCACCTTCCCTTAGAGACACTTCGAGCCCGAGCAGTACGCTTCGACCATGGCCAGGATCATCCCCTTCTTCCAGTACACGACCGAGCCCAGGCTGGACCTCGCGCTCCAGACGCGTATACAGGCGCTCTGTCGCAGGCCCATCAACGGCGACGCCACGTCCGTGTCCATGGGCGAGCGCGAGCCCATTATCATGACGTCGTTCAGGAGCACGATCAGGAACATGAGCTCGAACAAGGGCTTCATCACGCACCCGGGGAAGTACGTGGTCGCGGCCTTCATCAACCGCACGAGCAACACCGAGGACACGGTCTCGATCTCGAAGGAGCTTGCGGACTCAGGCATGTTCTCGTGGAACCGCTACATCAACTTGCCGTCGCCGTCAGGTTGCGGCCATATCGAGCCCGGAATGGTGCTCATGAAGCAGGGCTGATGGACGCCTGCGGTCCCAGATGGACATGAGCAAGGTCGGGGACCCGTACGCCGTCACCTATATGGAGTCGCGCGCTCGTGGTCGGGGACAAGCTTGCAACCAGCGATGGGCTCAAGTTCACGATCGGAAAGAAGATCCCGCAAAAGGACATGCCGATGCTCGTGAACACGGAGACCAGCAAAAGCTTCAAGCCGAACCTGCTCGTCAACACGAAGAACGTCACGCGCGGGCTCGCGGCATTGTTCAGGTCCATGATCGTCTGCATGTCCAGGTACGACAGCATGACCTTGTTCAGAAAGTTGCAGAAGCCTCAGGGCACAGGCGTGCTCACGCTTTTGGACGAGAGCAAGGTCAGCCACGTGCTCCCGAAGGCGTTCGTGACGGTTGACGGCGAGAAGCTCTCGTTCAAGGACACGGGCGGGAGGGAGATCATGTACAGCTACGGGATTACGGAGGTGTTGTAGCTCAGGCACACGCCCTTGCTTGAGCAGCACTACCCGTCCGCGACCCCGAGGAGCATCAAGGTCCCGCGCGGGAGGTACAGGATGGGCACGCCCAGGCTCGAGGAGACAAGAGTTGTTGATGATGATGATGATGCAGGAGCAGCTGCACTCGTGCCCTAACGAGACCGTGCTTAGTACTGACGGCTGCATTATGGTCGACTGCTCGGTCTGTGAGACGCTCCCGATCTACTGCGCCTGCCTGAAGCTGAAGCTGCCGACGCGTCCGTGCCAGAGCAGGTACTTGCTAGCGGAGCTGAACATGTTTGAGATGACTGGCATGCTTAATGGCCTAGGGAAGCCCGTGATGACGCTCGAGTCCAAGACCTGTATATGATGATGGCGCTGCTTATAATCGCGTGCGTGCTCATGTCGACGCTGAACAACACGTTTGGGAGCGCGTCCTTGATTGACCTTAGCCCCTTAATTGAGCGCATAGGCGGAAACGGCTCCGCGCACGTTAACTTACTAAAGGTCAAGACTACCTGCGCGGATGTCCTTGGGCTGCTGTTCTTGCGCATAGTAATGGTTACAGGCTTGGTCTCAAGTGCGCCCTCATTTATGTCGTTGTGTATGTACCCGCAGCTGAACACATTCACGTTCGACATCATGAGCGTGTCGATGAGCCTGATGTGGTACGAGATGCTGAACGAGAATACAGCCGAGAT